CAACCTCCACCATCCCATCACAACCTACAACCTCCACCTCCACCTCCACCACCGAGTTTGCCACAAAGGCAGACATGCAAGCACTATCAAGAGCATTGGTCTCCTCTTTCAACGAGATCAGTGCAAAGTTTGTTCATCGAGCCATCCAACCAACAAGGGCTCTCACTAAAACGATGGTCAATGAACAACGACGTATATCAACTCTCCTTCGTTCAATGAAGGAGACCACCAGAAAGGCAGCCCTGAGGGAGTATCTTACATCCCTCAGGAAGGACAAGAAGAAGAAGAGGTCTCAAGCCTCTTGCTCAAGCAGCCGCCCGAGCAAAAGAAGGCGCCACGACGACCAAGACCCCGATGATCAAGGCCTTGGCCCTCGTGAGGGGGAGAAAGAGGCGGCGGCTGCATACACTTCAACATCTGCTGCACTACAGCAACCAGCACCACAGCAACCATCACCTCAAGAAACCCAAGCAAGGGAACCAGAGGCCTTGCCCTCTGATGATCAATCGCATATCCAGGTTCCCTTGGCTACAACCCCAAAGCCCATCGTGTTGAGTTCCCAACCGATGAAGAACCAACCACCCCACAAACACATCAACCTTTTTCTCCTACACCAAATATAAACCTACCCTTAACCCCCTCACCAACACCCCGCACAACTCAACCCTTCATCATTTCCATACAACTAGAGCCCACTATAACCGAACCTTCTTCACCCATACAACCAGAGCCCACTATTACCCAACATTCTTCACCCATACAACCAGAGACCATTACAACCCAACCTTCATCACCCCAACAACCAGAACCTATAATAACCCCTACCTAACTAACCCAAACACAACCAATGGTGCAAGCAGATGTTTTCGCTTCCTCAAGGCATCCTCCAACAGGCCTAGTGAACGAAATTATTCAGCAGATGGAGTCGATGAGGAGAAAACCTCAAGAGCCACCCAGGGAACCAGTAATGATGGAAAATATCCATCCATACATGTACCATGATCGCGATGAAAGTTTGTCAATAAATCCTCCAATCCTATCGCCCGAATCAATGGATCTCCTACACCATCACTTCGTCAGACAAACTACTCAAGATCCTCGAATTGTCTTCTCGAATGAAGGAATAAGAAGAGTCATGGACTTAAAGATAAAATCCTTCGCCAACCGAGCTATCAGATACATTGAGTTCACCGTGGAGAGAGCCCATGGGATCATTAGCGTGTTCAACGAAAATGATCTCATTAATCTCAACTCGTACGACTTAATCGAATTATACGCCTATACAACTCAGAGGCAGGATCACGGGATAAGGTTTGGAATGGCAAATCGAGCGATAGTAAAGAGAATGGAGTCCCTGGTAAAGTTAAGAGCGAAAACAGACTTCGAAATTGCGCTAAGGCTGGGCATTGAGAGACTATCATGCGCTCCACCAAACGAAGAATTCCAGGGCTTGCAGGAGATACGCTCTGCCTCTGTCTTGTCTCAACCCGAACTCGGACTTGTTTACAAGAATGAGTTTGGG